ACTTGTTGTGTCAAAGGTCTGGTGTGTGTTTTGCTCCAGCTTTCTTTTGTGTGTTCTTGGTTTAAAATTAATGGGTCTGGGGAGGGTGGCAAGTCTTTTTTGATGCTCTGAATGCAAGGATATCAGATGCAGAAATAGACCCAGCTAGACTTGGACCTCTGTTTTGTTTGTTTGTTTTTAATCTTCATGCTCTGACTGACCCTGGGTGAAAGGCTTCCTGCCTCTCCTTAGTCTGTGAAACAGGGTTAATAAACCACTAACCCTCCTCCCATGACAGTTGGGAGAAAGAGCTGATAAAATTGGTGTTGCTAAAGCCCTTTGCAAATGCAGGTGCATAACTATGCTGAAAAGTCCCAGTTTTAAACATCTCCAGGGGTTAGGAGCTGGCTGGTTAGTTCAGTTGGTTAGAGTGCGGTGTTATAACACCAAGGTCAAGGATTCAGATCCCCATACTGGCCAGCCGCCAACAAATAAACAAACATCTCAGGAAGCACAGGTTAAGTCTGGGATTTGCACTGTTCAGAATATAGGGTAAATGGCTTGTTAGGGCTCACTCCTGGGAAGTGGTCAGAACCTATGGCCTCCTCCCTGTCTCCATGAGTCAGAGGATGGGGAGGGCTTCCCATGGCTTTGGAGGGAGCTCCCAGTACCCCCACTGGGGGTGGTCAAAGTCTCCTTGTGATAACACCAACGTTCAGGGTTCAATCCCTATACCGGCCAGCTGCCAAAAACAAACAAAAAAAGAGTCTCCTAGTGAGAAACTTCCTCCCACGCCCTTTCAGAGCTCTTAAATTTTTATTGTTTTGCTTGAAAAGAGAAAACTTAAACAGAGAAATGAGGGTAATGAGCAACCAATTGCACATAGAGAGGAGGCTGAGCATGGGAACATGTACATAAATATTTGCTGATTGATGAAGAGAGGGACATTAGTACTGAAGCTCAGGGCAGAAGTCCAAGGTTTCCAGATGCAAAAGGACTGAGGGGCCAACTAACTCCACATTCTGCAGAAGAGCAAACAGAAGACTAGAAAGGTAAAGAACCATTTCAAATTGCATGGCAGGTTGCTGATAAGAGCCCACCAAAGCCCTGGATTTCTGGGTTTGCTATGTACCCTGCCTTTCTGTGGCCTGGCTAATGGTGACCTTCTGAAAAGACTATTTGGTGATAAGAGCTCTGCGGCCGGATCAGCAAGTTGGGGTCTACTTGACAAGTGACCCCCAATGGTCCCCAGGACAGGATATTCACATATGGATCTTAGAGACTCACAGCAATGAAGAAGCAGCCGGAGAGCTCTCGATTTCACTCAAGTCCCCTCTCTTTTCTAACAGTGTCAAGATGTGACACTGTGGGTGAGACACAGGGTGGGTGGGAGATGGAAAGGAAGGGCCTGAGGAGACAATTGAAAAGGTGCTCATGCTCCCTCTCCCCAAAATTCTACTGGGCCTTTTTCACATTTAAGAAGGAAAACATTGAGAGAACAGAGAGCTCCAAGGACTTGAAACCCAAAGTACTTTCTGTGCCTAAGAACATGACAAGCAGATTTTGAGAACTAGATAAATATGAACTAAAGAGGTGGGAGTGGGGGAGAGCTGCAGAAATGCTCAGGCAAGGGCCATCCTACTGGTTTTGGTGGGAAGCAGATTACCAAGCTATACATAGATGATAGAGAGTTTTGGAATATCTACCTCTATTTCTGTATCTATACGCAAAATAAAACTCAAATGCTTAAGCAGGGCCCTTCCTAACTAGCTATTTCCAACTTTTCCAGCTATACTCACTACATCCTGCAATACACCCAAAGTAATAGCCATTTCTATTTGCTAATTATTCATTCATTAGAGATTTATTGAGCACCCACCACATCCAGGCAAAAGGCAAATAAACAGATAGGTACGTAGTACATTAGATGAAATAATTTATTACCTTACTTCTATGTGATGGCATGAGCATGCACAGAAAGTACTCTTTATTTTCCTTCTCCCTGTCCCTGAGTCTGGCTTACAGTTTTTCACCTTCCTGGCTCTCTGAGCTGAGGCCCTTCTCTCCAGTGCAGTCCTTGGCCTCTTGTGATGGAGAATTGAGAGGACACTGAGAGGCAGGAAGAAAGGCCATTAGAGGAGGGTGGAAGCCAGGGCTGGAGTTTTTTTAAGGGCTGTGGTATGTGAGAATAGCTGATGGGAGGATGGGAAAGAAAGCAAATGGATTTCAAGGAGAATGGGAATTCTATAATCTCTTCTGAGTGTAAAGAATTACAAGTAAAGACCTTGAATAGTTTTTGACATTACTTTTGCCAGGGCTGGCTGGTTAGCTCAGTAGGTCAGTAGGTTAGAACGTGGTTGGTAACACCAAGGTCAAGGGTTCAGATCGCCATACCGGCCAGCTGCTCCCCCACACCCCTCAAAAAAGAAGCTAATGTAGGGCTGGCAGGTTAACTCAGTTGGCTAGAATGCCACCTTCTAACACCAAGCTCAGGGGTTCAGATCTCCGTATCTGCCTGCCACCAAAAAAAAAGAAATTACTTTAGGTTGCACAGAAGTTGTCCTTGTGAACTAGACAGCAGTCTGGGGTCATGGCTTTATATGCTTTTCACATCCATTAATCAAACAAATATTCATGGCGCGCCCTGTATCTGCAGTCACCGGGTAGGGCTGAACGAAATGAACCTAGTCCCTGTCCTCCCGAAGATTGAAAATATTGTTAAATAAAAATTATGAGAGGCCTTTGTTTTGGACTGAGCTCTTGTACTAGGCTCCAACATATGAGACCGAATAAAAATGAAGTCACTCATGCTAAATGCTGTGTAACCAAACTAAAACAGACAGATTCCCAAACAGACCAGTTTTTCCTGAAAACAGGAGATTCCGGTCTGCTTGAGTCAGCATAATAAGGATGTCTCTGCTTTAACCCTTACAAAAAGTAACTTGAAGGAACTTGATGTTAACCAATCAGCTTTTTTTCTATTGTTCTATTTCCTTTGTTATCACCTTGCAAAACCCACTGTTCTGCTATTGCTCATTGGGAGCTCCCATTCTGTTTTGTAGAATGGAGGATGTCCCACTCATGAATTATGAATAAAAGCCAATTAGATCCATAACTAAATTTGTTGTGATTTTGTCTTTTGTCAATATCAAATAAACAAATATTGAATTAAATTGTGATGTGTATTTTGTGCTTTTTTCCCCTAGTTTATTTTATTTTATTTTATTTTATTTGTGATGTGTATTTTGAAGGAAAGAAGCACAATGCCATAGGAGAGAGTTAATTGGGGAACAGCTTTATGTCTTTGGAACTCTTCCTGCTATTCACACTTCAGGGTCTTTGTTAACACTAAGTGCTGAGGTACTTTTTTTTCATGGTGTATCATATCAAAATCTTAATATTATACTGAAAAGCTCAAATGTCACCTTCAAGATGCCTTTCAGGTCCCTCATTTAGGTTATTCTGTCCTGACACATTGCTTGCAAGTCTACTATAAAATTCACTTCATTCTGCCAAGTGTATACCTGTTGTAGAGAGACCAATTGTTCCAGTTTCCCTAGCACTGAAGGGTTTCCCAGGATGCAGGACTTTTCCTGGGATGCAGTGCTGAAACCTGGAAAGTTATGGGCAAACGTGGATGAGCTGGCCACCCTAACCTGTCTACAAATCTGTTTTCCCCAATACATCCAACACTCCAGGAAGGAAGCAGCCATACCTTCTCATTTCTATTCATGCAATGACTTACAGAGAGAAACAGTGGTCATATCAACAACAACAACAATGGTTTACACTTTAGCATTTACTCCACCCCAAGCCCTATGCTTACCTCTTTACAACAATCAAATGAGGTCATTCATTTCCGCTTATAGGAAAACTGAGGCTAAGCCAGTTAAGCAGGATTTGACAGGGTGGGGACTGCCGTAGAGAATTTAATCACCACCCACAATACTAGCACAGTGGTTCTCAAACTTTTTGATCTCAGGATCCCTTTACACTCTCTCTCTCTCTCTCTTTTTTTTTTTTTAAAATGACCAGTCAGGGGATCTTAACCCTTGACTTGATGTTGTCAGCACCACGTTCTCCCAGGTGAGCCACGGGCCAGCTCTCCCTTCACACTCTTAAAAATTATTAAAGGACCCAGAAAACTTTTATGTGGGCTATATGCATTTATACTGATAGAAATTAAAACTTAGAATTAAAAAATATATATTCATTATTTAATTTAAACCTAAATTCATTAACATTAATAATATATTTTAAAATAAGAACTGTTTTCCAAAAGAAACAATTTTTAGCGAGAAGAGCGGTAAGTCTCTTTAATGTCTGGCTTACTAGAAAACAGCTGGATTCTCACATCGACTTCTGCGTTTCATCTGTGGCAATATGTACCACGTAGCCTCTGGAAAACTCCACTGTACACTAGTGAGAGAAAGTAGTATCTTAGTATGATTAAGAAAATTGTTTTGCCTTCGGAGACCCCCTGAAAAGGTCGCGAAGACCCCCAGGAGTCTCTGGACACTTTGGGAGGCGCTGCTGTACTGCACGAAACAATAAATCGCACATTCACACTTTTCAATACCCTGATGTTAGGCATCAGGCGAAAAGGAATCCAGTTTACACGAACGTGAGGTTTTGGTTTCTACACTGTGTCTGGGCGAATGCCAGGGACACCAGCAATGAGACAGTAAGGACCATAGGCGCCTCCTCTCGGCCGAACCCTAACCAGCGAACTCTTCCCGGGTCACCCACGCTCTGCTCGACCTTGGACTACAACTCCCGGCAGAGCTCGCGGCAAGGGGTGTGCCCGCAGCCGTGAGAAGCATGGGTCACTCAAGCTGAGTGACGGAAGTGAGAGGGGGCGTGCTTTTTTTTTGCAGGAGCGGTACCTCAATTGGAGGATACATGAAGAAGGGGCGGAGCCAGTGCTTGCGTCAGCCAATGGTTTGAGGTCGGGCTCAAGGGGGAGACGGGGCGTGGCAGGGCTGACTCGAGGGCTGCGTGGGGCTCACGGAACAGGGAACTGGGGTCTGGGGTTGGGAGGGCGTCGTCTGGGCCCGCGGCGGCCGGAAGGGGGAGATGGCGGCGCGATGGAGCAGCGAGAACGTGGTGGTGGAGTTCCGTGACTCCCAGGTGAGCTGGGGAGCGAATGGAGCCGTCTGGGCATGCGCCCTTCCCGCTTCCCCTCCCCCACGCTGCCGAGTCCTCCCGGGGATTGCGGGGAGACCCCCCAGACCCGGCTGGGGAGATGGGCAAAGGGGCGACCCGGAGCTGTCAGACCCTGGCGGGCGAGGGGAGCCTTGATGACCGTTGGACGGTTGGGGCCGGCCCGGACGGGGTTTCGGGGTTCCCCGCGAGGGTCCGGGGAGTGGGTCCGCCTTGGGACGCTGAGGCAGAGATTGCGCGCGGGTGAGTGCTGAGGGGAGGCCTCCCGCGCCCAGGGCGGTGCGCGAGCGGGGTTCTGCTCCCCGGGGCCGCGCTTGCTGACTTCGGGCAAGTGAGTCGCGGAACTTCTGGGAGTCTCAGCTGCGTGGACTTAACCCTGCCTCACAGGATTTGGGGACGGACTCCATGAAACACTGCTTTCAAGGTGCCTGTTTCAGCGCCTAAGCGAATAAGTGGTTGCCGATGCTCTGAGAGTGGAAGATACCGGGCAGTGGGCAAGAGCGGGCACTGCGCTCATTGGCCGGGTTCGAGTCCCGCCGCAGTCCCTCGCCTGTCATCACTTCTGTAAAAGAGAGATCATCGTACTCATCTCACAGGATTGGCATGAGGATTCTATGAGGTCATACGTTTAGAAGGTGTGGCACAGTGACGGGCACACAGTAAGCCTCGAGAAACGTTAGCGCTTACTAGGGATTTTTACCATTTTTCTGTACCGGGTCTTCCATATGCCAGGGCTTGTGCTAAGCCATTTATCAACATTTTCTTCCTCCCTCCCTCCCTCATCTTTCTTTTTGGAGGCTTGCCGGTGTAGGGAATCCAAACTGTACTTGTCAACACCATACTGTACGGTAGTGTGCTAACTGGCCAGCCCTAAGCCCTACATTTTCTTTTTCTTTCTTTCTTTCTTTTTTTTTTGGATGGCTGGCCAGTTTGGTATCCGAACCCTTTACTTTGGTGTTAATACATTTTTTTTTTTTTTTAAAGATGACCGGTAAGGGGCTGGCCCGGTGGCGCACTGGAGAGTGCCCCGCTTGGGAGCGCAGCGGCGCTCCCGCCGAGGGTTCGGATCCCATGTGGAGACCGGTTCCGCTCACTGGCTGAGCGTGGTGCGGGAGCAACACCGAGGGTTGCGATCCCGTTGCCGGTCAGTAAAAAAGACAAAAAGGAAAAAAAAAGAAAAAAAAGATGACCGGTAAGGGGATCTTAACCTTTGACTTGGTGTTGTCAGCACCACGCTCACCTAGT